GGGGGTTTTGGGTGGCTTACGTGTCAGATTGCAAATCTCGTTGGCACCATGGTGCTAAGATCGTTAGTGAAGGCCACTCAGTGTACACATCAGTATAAAATTAGTTCTGTACAGCTAATTGGTTTATTTGGAAAATGTAACGGAAGACTTCAGTTTTGTTTATCTTCTTCTCCATGCTAGGCGCTGCAGTGATTCAGATTCGGTTGCTGAGAAGTTAAAGCAGCCCGTGGATTTATGCCTTTCAGTCTCAAGCAGACGGAGAGAAAGACCAAAAGTATTCCTAAAGCAAACAAAAAAAGGACTAGAATAGAAACCTTGGCCTTTGCGGTGACAATTTCAACTCCAATTTGTGAATAAAGTGGTATATTTCAGTTCAGTGATGTGGCTAGCTGTAAAGAAACTGCATTTTTATACACTTGGTGCCTTTAGCCATCTTTCCTTTCCTATTAAACACTTTCTCGTGTACCCTACCAAGCATAAATGATTGTCATCCTTAAAAAAAACCCAGAACACTTAAAACAGTCATGAGTTGCCTACTAGTAGAAATAAAACCAGACATTTATCTGCAGTGAAGTCTCATTTAAAGGAATGTGCAGAGAAAAAGAACGGTAAGCAGAGTCATTCGTAAAGGCGCTTCGGAAGGGGTGGCTTGTGGTATTTAGAGTATTTTCCACAAAATACACTGAGCCATTTGGACGAGACGTGATTTCACATAACAGATTCAGCAAAGTTTTTAATTGTGGGCCACAGCGCTTTGGGGCGTTAGAGCAGTGTGTGGTAAAGAGCTGATGTTTGCTGCTTTTTTTTTTTTTTTGAGGCTTTTTTTACACTTCAAGCACATTATTTTTGCCGTGCAGCCTTCTGAAAAGTGTTTTTCAGAATGGCAGAATTTTTGCTGTGGAAACCAGCCTGTAACCAGCGTACACGGGGGCCTGTGCTGCTGTTGTACTGTAGAGCTGGAGCAACACTACCTCCAACGCAGGTTACCAGCTTCACAACTCCAAAGCCAGGCGGACTTTGAACCATTAATGGAGACGTTTCCATTACTTGGATGCATCAAATTTGACCTGCTTTGTGGCCTTTTTTTTATTTTTCAATGGTGTGCAGTAACTTTAGTTTCATTTTATGCCAAGATCTTTATTTCTCTCACCACCGAAGCCTCATTGTGCTTCTCTGCTTCTCACTTACATCTTAAAACAAACCAACCAACCTGTGATGCTTTTAATGATTACGCTACATATCTCCGATTAAAGATGGTCTGCACAGAAGTAAATATTAAGTAAAGTCCTTTCTACGTCATCCGCCTGCTGGCCTGTGTTTATCTTCTGTCAGAAAGGAAAACGAATGTATCCCGGAATCTAGCTGCCTGTTTGCACAAGCACAAATGATTAACCCGGAATATCAAAGGGAAGGCCAGGGATGGCTGAAAGGCGTACGTGCTACTGCCGTTCACGGCGACCTTCTCCCCTCTTTCCTAAGGAAGATGTGGACGTACTGCTGGTTTGTCGCGTCTTCAAAACTAACTCGAGTACTAAATTGAAGGCCCTCCTTAGCTCAGATCCTTTCCATGCGTAAAAGTCCTTAATTTAAGCAAGGAGGCTCTTACCTGTAACTCACAGAGTGTGAATGCATGCAGTCCCAGCTGCAAATTTGCCTGCTATTTTGCATTGGTACAGGCTGAGACCTACGCAATACTTTTCATCGCTTTCCTTTTTTTTTTTTTTCTTTTTCTTTTTTCCTTCTCCCCTCCCAGTCCCAAAACACAACTGACTCGTTTTTACACTGTGCAGCTGAAAACAGTTGTAGCATCTCAGCAGCTGAGGATCGGCGCAGCATCTGAGCGCAGTGCTCTGGGACGGGGTGTGTTGGGTGTGAGTAAACGCGGTGTTGGTGCCGGGCCATCGGCGGGAGGACTCTCTGGCCGACCCGCAGCCATCCTTTGAGCACTGGCTGTTCGCAAGGAGGAAGGTGCACGCCACGGCTTTGATTTTGTAGGCTGGATCTGCTTATTCAGGGGATGTTTGAGATGGTTCCTCGTACAGGGGGGGATGAGGAATCCGGTCTTTCTCCGCCTGCTTGGTGAAAATGTTGGTCTGGCTGCGGAGAGAGACGTCTCGGTGATGAAGCAGCAGCTTTCTGATGCAATTCTCGGCTGGGTTGTTCAGCCACCGGGGCTGTTCCCTGCTTTCCTTACTACACCCGTCTGTAGCTCGCTCCTGCGGCACCTCCTGAACCACAGCAGATGATTCATTTCTGCTTTGGAAACAGGGTGGACAACCAGGGGCTGGCAGAGGAACCACTCAACTCGCTCAAGTTACATCTGCATTGAAGACATCCCTAGGGTGAATACTGACTTTGTATAAGGCTCGTCCTTTCTTCACCTCCTGCCAAATACGCTTTCACACTAGTACTTTACCCAGCTGGCTAATTTGGCCTTTGAAATTATCTCAATAATGTCAGGTACTTAAAAAAAAAAACAAACCAACATTCCCATCCCTTTATAAATATTGCAATCTAGATGTAAAGACATTGTTTCAATGTTGTTTGGGATCTGTTGTATTAAAAAAAAAATAAAAATAGTTCTTCAGTGCTGTGCAGCAATCCAGAGCGGAGTATAAACAAATACTATGTCAAGCCGAAACAAGTCGGTTGACTTTGAGGAGGCAGAATGTAAATGCCCAAGTCAGGAGAATTAGTGCCTTTTGTAACGTTGCAACAAATGCGGGGAGATTGCTCCTGCTGACAAGCCCGAAACCTTTCTCGCTTAAAAGAAAGAATAAACGAAAAGAAAAAGCTCTTTGGAAAGATGGAAAGTAGGTAAAGACGGGGTTTGTGCAGAGCGCGTCTCAGTTGCCGGGTTTGCAGATAAGCGCCCGTCCCGTTCTCCTCCACCGCCTCTGATGCAGGGATGAAAGGAGTAAGTTTTTAAGCCTTTGTAGCTAAATCTACCCGAGTTCACAGGTTTTGGGGCTGGAAGTAGCAGCAGTCGGATCCTGCTAGCAGGCTCGCTGGAGTCCTATTGGAGACAACGCGTTTAAAAAGCAAACCTGGCCCATACCCAGCTTTACAGAGCAGGGAGAGGCCGTCTGCTCCGCCGCTGGCGCGGTTTCACGTCCAGCTCTCCCATCGCTGACCTTTGTCACCTGTTTCTTTACTGGAATTTAGAAATCTATGGCTTTTAAGCGATAGAGCGCTTGAAAATATTTTTTGCTCTAGTGGGTTTAACCGTGCAAATAGTGGAACAGAGCCACCAGGCCATGGCGGGCAACCTGATTCTGGAGATTGCTCCATAAAGGTTTATTTCGGTTATTAGCCGCTGTGCCAATATTTTTCTTACAAGAAAGAGTAATGATTTTTTTTTGCAACCGAAAATTGAGGGTTTCGCAGGCTGCAACTGGAAAATTGGCAGCGGTGCTCATCTGCTGTAGACTGGAAGCCCATGGCAGAGGGAAAAGGGTTAAATGAAAAAATATAATTCTTCAGTAATAGCTTTAGAAACTTAAGCTGCTAGTTAGCTCCAGAAAGCACACCTGAAACAGAGAATAAAGGTAATAATTATATAGTCAGACTATATGCAGATATAGTTACAGATGGCATACTTTTCCAGCTCAATAATGCATTCTTAAAATTGGGGATGAGGAAGTCAAATGAGTTACTTGATTTAAAAATAAAAATAAAAGCTCCACCGCTCACAGGAACTTTAAAATTCCTTTTGGCTAGTCCTAGAACATACAAGTTCTGATTTTACCTGTACTTATTCCCTGTTTTTCTGGTATTTTTTCTTCACAACAGGAAGAGGAAATTAAAGGTTGCTCTGTCGTGCTTCCATAGAACAGCGGATGGCAATTCTGTAATCCTGTTTTGTTTCAAATTGAATTGCCATAGTCCTGCAGACTTCTCTTTTTCAGTCAGTTGTTAAAAAAAAAAAAAAATACAAGAGGAGCTTTCAGCAGTTTGCCAATGCAAGAAATAAGTAATTTTTAATCCATTCTAAAAATAGTTTTCTGGTGCGGCTGCTTTAATTATTACTAAGATGGAGGATTTGTGTATTTTTTTCCATGAACATCTGGGTTAAATAGGGGACTTCTTTGGTCTGTTTGCTTGGCATGTGAGGTGAGACTTTTTTTTTTTTTTCTGCTAGCTATGTTAGGTGTGGAACATTGCTTAGGGATGAGAGGTCTAAAAGAAAAAAAAAAAAATTTTATTCCCATATTTTTGCTACCGTGTCTTCCCTTTCCCCAATATAGAGTTAAGGTGAGACTGAGTATAAGTCAGGAGCGAGGTGAGACAGAGATGAGAATGGGGCTCTGCTGGGGGAAACGGCCATTTGAGCATCTTCTGAGTGTTCGTTCTCATGCTGAAAGATCGGAACTGGGTGGAAAAGAGACTACCTCCAAAAATAGTCAGGTCTTTTATAGTTATCTTCCTCTCTTGGATCCTAGTTTTAGATGAGTTAGAGCTCTAATAGTTTCATCTTTGGCTCTGTAGTTATTTTTCCTGGCCTGTTGTAAGAGTTTATAAGAGTTTAATGGATACTGCACAACTTGAATTGCTGAGATTGTACTGAGTAGTCCTTATTGAAAAGCAAAATTAGGCTTGTAGCTGGTAATAAACCTAGTAAAAATTGAGATTGATGCGAGTTTCCTGATCTAATTTTTACTTAAACTACTGGGCTCTTTTGTAGAATTGGAGAGAGGGAAATGATGTCTCGTTTGTGGCCCTTTCAAAGGAAAACATATCGATGCAATTTTTTTTTTTCACTCTCTTTTTCTCCTGAATGAGGTCCTGTCATAGCACAAAACCTTTTTGCGTTTGCAAACTGCTTCTGCTGCTCTGGCACACCTACAGCGCTCCCATGGTTTGTTCCACGATACATCACGGACCTTTTGTGTGCAAAGAGTAGGAGGTTGCACCACATTTGATGGGACTTAGCGTAGAGGTCTCCTCCAGGAGTCCTAAAACCATTCTTGGTTCAGAAACTGTTTAGTCCTTGTTCTGCGATGGGTGAGTTCTGAAATGACGCGACCGAATTCTGGTTTAGCATTTGTGTAAGCATGCAGTATAGAAAGCGAGGAGGTTTTAACAGAAAGGGGCGTTCATTAAAGCTTCTGTGTATTGCAACAAAAGAACAAAAGTAAAGGAATTTTTTTCTTTATGTAAATACATATTCCAGTCACAGATAAAGAAAACAAAGCTCACATTTAATATTTGGATGTTTTTTTATGTATTATGATCAGGTAGTAGTGTAGCTGGTACGATTGCCGGAAAGTTGTTTTTTTTAATGGTTTTAAGATTTCTTTATCTGATATTTTGTTTTGCAGTATTATGTGCCAAGAATCTTGCAAAGAAAGATTTCTTCAGTAAGTATGCCCTAATTGTATAACCTTCTGCTCTTTTTTAAATCAGATTTATTTGTAGATTGTGCATTACTGTCGTGGCGCATCTATGTTTGTCATTTGTTCTGTGATTCCATTCTTGCAGTAACATTGCATTACTACATGAGGAGATGTTACCCTCACTTTTATTTAGATAGTGTAGACTCTAGGACTGGAAAGACCCAGGAGTCACAGATTAGTTGAAAGTCTGGCTGATGGGACCACAAACAGGTTGCTGCTTACAATTCTGTCTGCGGGGTACCAAGAGCATCCATCTCAAAGATGGCTCTATTGGTAAAGCATGCCAGGGGCACGAGTGAAGCACCCCAGTGCTGCAGTCTCGAGATTACAATAAGGATTTAATAAAAATGCCTACTTACTAGTGTGCGTGGGTATGCGCTGTTAAATGAAGCTAGTCTAACCTATTGTTTTCCAAAAACTTCCACAATTTATGGCAGATATCAGTCTGTGTGACAGAAGTACATTACCTAATTAGGAACTCGATTCTCAATTTTGGATTTACTGAAATAGTTTTAGGAAATGACAACTTTCCTGTCGGGGGGAGGGGGATGCAAGCAGGAGCTTATGATAGCATTATCTTGGAAGAAACAACCCAAAAAAGTATTATTTTTTAATAGCACCTTTTCCCTTCCGCAGGACTTCCTGACCCATTTGCAAAAATAGTTGTTGATGGATCAGGTCAGTGCCATTCAACTGACACTGTGAAGAATACATTGGACCCCAAATGGAACCAGCATTACGATCTGTGAGTTGTTTGCAAGGTCATAAGTAAAAAATATTCCAGATATTTATCTAGCGAGGGTTGGCACCACAACTTCATTTTGCGTTAGCACGAAGAGTCACATTTGCTGAGGAGGACTGATTTTTTGCAACAAGAAATTACCTGTTAATAAAGGAGTGGTACTTTGCTTTTAGTTGTTTGAATTTGGAAATACCCGTGTGTCGGGTACACAGCACAATTGCTCAGAGTAAGCTCTACTGGAGCAGCGCGGTCCAGCTTTTACAAAAGATTGTCCTTGTTGTAGTGATTTATTTTCTTCAAATTATTAGAAACATAAATTGTTTAGTTTTGTACATTAATCAGCTTGTTGTATAGCTTTTAATGAGGCTGTCTGTAGTTAAATTCATGCTGCAGCAATATCAATTTAACATGCTGTGTGAAATCATAGCGCAGTAATTCATTAATAACACCATTTCAGGCTTAAGCACTTCTGCATTTCTACTAAAACAGCACGACCGATGTACTAAAATATATCAGAATTTGTACCAAATAACACATAAATTCTGTGGAGTAAAAAGAAGTTCTTTTTCCTAAACTTACTCTTCTAATATGTATTTTTCTAGATATGTTGGGAAGACAGATTCCATAACCATCAGTGTATGGAACCATAAAAAAATCCACAAGAAACAGGGAGCTGGCTTCCTGGGGTGTGTCCGACTCCTCTCCAATGCCATCAGCAGGCTAAAAGATACTGGATGTAAGAGCAATTCCCGCCCGGCGCAATCAGTAACCTTCTGTGCCTTGTATCTGAGTAGTGAATAGCATTCCCACCCAGCCCTCCCCAGTGTTTTGTTGATCTTTCCAATTCTCATTTGCAGACCAGCGTTTGGATCTATGCAAATTAAATCCCACAGATACCGATGCTGTACGAGGCCAAATAGTGGGTAAGAATACTCTCGGCTAAACTTTCATCTTCTTGGGTAAATACACTATACGGACAAATGTTGTATTAAAAAAGAAACCCAGAATCATTATTGCTCCCGTGCCTTTTCTGTGTTGTTTCTTCTGACTTTAATGGGATTAAATTGCATAACCTGAAATTTTTTGTTGTACTCCTACGTAGGAGTTTGTTTTCTCTCAGCTGATAATGGGAAACAATATTAAAAAGAGGGAATGCATCTGGCAAGGTTTCTAATGCAGCTCTGGAAGGGTAAATGTTGTTGTGAAACTGATTGCATTTGGACCAAGGGGACAGGCAAAGAGAATCTTACGTGAAAAAAAGGATCTGGAGGAGTTAAAAGACATCTTGCAAATTGCTGGTTTAATACCTTTGACTCATGGAACCCATTTCTAAATTTCAACAAGGCCGTGCTAGTTTTACGGCTAATTGAACCCATTTTACCACGTTTTTCTGCCCCCCACCCAACCCAAGCTTTTCATTGATACATAAATATAGTTGGCAAACCTCAAATTCTCACTGTAACAATGACATCTAGTGGCGAGTAATTTCTTTCCAGCTTACCTTGCTGGATCCTCGTGAAACACAGATGTAGAACCTGACACGTATGATATTTATAGAAGTAGACTCAGCTTAAGTTTTGATGTGGTGATGCCTTTGGTTTCTCTTCTCCATTTTTAGAAAATCAGTAATGCTTTAGGGTTATAGAGGGAGTTTTGGTAAGTGGTATGCTCTCGTGTGTAGGATGTAGTTTTCCTTAATATTTTACCCGGTATAAATGGGGGTTGTTTGGCCCTTATGTTGTTTTTAAGGGAACAGTTGTTCTTTTATTATTAATGGTGTTTCTTCTTTTTATTTCAGTCAGTTTACAGACACGGGACAGAATAGGTACAGGAGGTTCTGTAGTCGACTGTAGAGGGCTTTTGGAGAATGAAGGGTAAGAATTGTTTCCTTTACACTTAATTAGAAAAAAGTGGTTTATGTGTGGAAAGAATGTAATTAACACTAGAAATATTAAATATCAGTGTGACTAATACATTGCCTGGGAATATGTATCAGGTTATAGCTAGATAATTCCTTGAAGAAAATAAGCTAAACTTGGTATTTTTTGTTACAAGTGCTTCTGGCACTTCCATGAGAAATTTGGGGTATAAAAACATGAAGGAAGTGACATATCTTGGATTAAAATTTGCAGTACTTGAAGTAATGGAGAGAGAGAGAGAGAGAGGGAACAGTTATTTCTGCATTCACTTCTCTTGCGATGGAAACTCTTGAAGTTTCCCCATTTTCAGAACGGTTTATGAAGATTCCGGACCGGGAAGGCCGCTGAGCTGTTTTATGGAAGAACCAGCGCCGTATACAGACAGTACGGGGGCTGCTGGCGGAGGCAACTGTCGCTTCGTAGAGTCCCCCAGTCAGGATCAGAGGCTTCAGGCACAGCGACTTCGGACTCCTGAAGTCAGAGGTCACGTACAGACACCTCAGAACAGACCTCATGGTCACCAGTCGCCTGACCTACCAGAAGGCTACGGTAAGAGGTTTTTTCCCAGAACTACAAAATTGAGGGTTTTTTCAAAAGACTTTAGAGAAAAATGCTCCCGTTTTAATATATAGCTGTGGTTTACCTGTTAGAACATGCAGCATCCATGTGCATGTAATGGTCTGCGTCTTGGAAAAGGAACTAAGCAGCACAGATGGGAGTTTGAGATTGGCTAATTAGCAGTTGGCTACGCCAGGATACACTGAGAGGTTGATGGTAAATTAAACATGAGTTTGTGGTATGATGCTGTTACAGAAAATTCACTGCTAATCTTGGCTGTGTATCTAGGGAGAACAAATGTAAAGAGCTCTTTAAACTAGAGCAGTAATGCTATTTTTTCCTTCCCCCTTGGCATGTTGTGTAGGTTTGAGCCCACATTTGAGAAAAGATCAGGAAAATAGAAAAGCACCAAAGCAGCCAGTAGTAGAGAAGACTAGGGAGGATAAGATTAAGGAGAATTTAAATCTCGGAAAAGAGCACACCAAATCTAGGAGTCAGGAAATCCGGTTTGGGGGTTTGGGTTGCCTCAAAATCTAAAAATAAAAATGCAAACTAAAACATACTGGTGCATGTATTTGTGAGTTTCCAAGAGAACACTGAAATGTGTAGTCAAAGTAAACTTGTGAAGACAGCGTTTAAAGACAAAATAGTCCATGCTGCAAGAGATCAGGTGGGATGGCTCAAGTACTTTCTCCTAGCTCTGACAGGAAGATAACGTGCTAATAGCTTTGAACTAACTGTTTATTCTGATTTTTTTTCAGGTTTGTAATTAAAATTAATCTTTCTTCCCTTTTCATAGAACAAAGAACAACGGTACAGGGACAGGTTTATTTTTTGCACACACAGACCGGAGTTAGCACATGGCATGACCCTAGGATACCGAGGTATGTATTTGTAGTTACAGAGTCAGGGTTTTCTCTGTGTGCAGCATTAAGCTGAATCTTTAAGACCAAAAATCTATGAAGTGGCCTGTCTAGATTTAAAGGGAGAGCTACAAGCAGAGGAATAATTTTGGATCATTCTAATTACCTTTTCACCATCATGAAGGATTGCATTTTTTGAAAGAAAGAATTATCTACTTGTGAATCATTTAAAACAAAAGGGAAAAAAATATGCAGTCCTTCAGGAACTCCCATTTGACGAATTCTTCCTAAAATGTCAATGTGACTTTTGTTTGTTTGTTGGACTTTTTTTTGTTCTTTGGTGAAGCCACAGATTTCTGAATGTTACCTACTCTTTTTTTTTGGTATGAAAACAGTTGGGACTGCAAATTGAAGAAAAAAGTGACTACTTTACTTTCTTAACGCCATTGTTTCTTGAGTATTGAACTGGTAACTTTTGCTCTAGTAGTGCTCACTTATGTATTACTGAAGCGGAGATTACTTGCCGTCTTTAAACTTGAAGTGGTGTTGGGGTTTTTTTGGTGCTTTAGACCAATGATTTGCAGCTAGAATATCTGAGTCCTCCACATGATTAATTTAGTAAAGCCTCTTGAAACCTTAACCTGCAGTTAATCCTGGTCTTTGTGACTAAGGTCTGGCGCTCTTCCTTGAGGAGCTCTGAGTCTGGGCTGTTTCGCTGGACCACCTGCGCACCAGATTCAAGAGTGAAACACAAAGTTTATAACTCTTGAGCTGCTGCTCTGGCTGGATAATACTTGAGTGTGATACAGGATATTAGAAAAATGATATCAAGTAGTGCAGGCAAAAGTGCTGATAAAACCACAGTATATGGAAGGATATGAAAAATAAAGTTGAGAGAAAATAGCTGATGTTAGATTAGCTGCTATCGTTGGAAGAAGAAATGACAATGCTCATTCTTCATGTCACTCATGTCAGGCTCGTGTGCCCAAAGCCTTGTCTCTTCTTCGAGTGATGCTGGTTGGCCTAATGAAAGGTATTGCTGCTTCTCTCAGCAACTTTGAGAGCCAGGTTTTCAGGACCAGCAATGTCAGTGGACACAATAATGTCTTGTGAGTCACAGGTCACTCTTGTTTTAGTTAAAGGTGGCTTTCTTACTACTAAGTTGCAGTGCAAAAATATAACCTTGGCATTTAGCACGGATGTCGGCTAAAACTTGAGGTAATCAGATCTCTAAAGTACTTTCAGATGCACAGCTGATTGAAACAAATGGTCACAACCATAATCTTCTTTAAGGAGCCTAGCAAAGGCTTGTCTGTCTGCCTGTGTATCTGTCCCCTGCTGGCTTATACTCACGGTGACGCTCATGAAGCCTCTGGTGTACAAAGTGTTTCTACCTTTCTAAAGTCTCTCAGTTTACTCATTTATACTGATGATGCATGGTTAGATATAGGTAAGGAAATATATAGACTGGTGTCTTCAGCCCTGGAGAACAGATGAATCCATGCCAGCTGTCTCGAGAATACTTTGCTTAACAATAGCTTTTCTGTCCAAAAATAATCTTCGGGTTTCCCTCCTTCCCTTTCTTGCCACTCTCAGTGTTTTCCTCTATTATTAGGTGGCTGGGGCTGTAAGTGTTTTCAACTTTCTAGGTGTAAATATGTTCTACGTATTGAATTCAAATACTACCTGAAAGTGAGTGACTACCTTTAGCAGCACTTAGAATGGTACCTAAAATTCATCTAGGATTGAAGAGGTGAATGTGTCGGTAAAGCCTTACTCTCAATGATTTATAAGTCAAAGGTTTCTAACCTTGTCTAATAAAGAGGCGGATTTTTTTTTTTCTTTGAGGTGATTTTAGTATTTGGCTGCCCTAGCCTCTTAACTTACTGGGTGTTTGGAGACAGTGGGTAGTGCAGAGGCCTTTGCTTAATAGTTTGGTTTTCTGCACATGGATCACGTTAGCATTACTGGGAATTTTTGCGTGAAATTTTTGCTACAAAAAAACGTCTCTCCTCCAACAGTCCTCAGAAACCCTGTCGTCACCTCAATGATGACGCTGCATATTGAAGTTACTTTTAAGCTGTATGGATTTGTTACTTTCAAAGCCTTTCAAAAACAGCAGATGTTTTGCTGATTTACCTTTTTGTCTGTGTACCAGACAGGGAGTTGCACTGCTTAGATTGAGGATTCTAAAAAGACAGCGTTAAAATAGCTATCCTGGCCTTCCGAAGACTCATAGCCTGGAATCACTGGGCACCAAATTCATTCCCCCCTCTCCCCTGAACATAAACTGTTTCCATCTTAACTTTCAAAGAGCTTTAATATTTTGTTTGCTTTTCTCCTTAGAGACCTTAACAGTGTGAATTGTGATGAACTAGGACCTTTGCCTCCAGGTTGGGAAGTTAGAAGTACAGTTTCAGGAAGAATATATTTTGTAGATCATAACAACAGAACCACACAATTCACAGATCCACGACTACATCACATCATGAAGTAAGAACCTTGCCTGATAAATAATTCATGTCGAGTTTGGATTCTTAAACCTGTTATTTTTGTCCAATTTTAACTACAGTCTGGGAGCAATGGGAGCTGAAAAACTGCATGATAACGATATTGGGGAACAGATGCAACCAATGCTTTAGGCAGGGTCTGAGTATTAGTTCTCAGTGCTGGTTTTATCTAACCTTTTTGCAGATACTCTTCAAAAATGTTTTCACTATCCTTTGCAATCCTCAGGTTTAAGGGAGGGCAGTGCTGATCTCTCTAAGCTGGTTTGTCAAAACTGCGCCAAACTGTACTGGAGGAAATCTGCGGTTCTAGAAACGCTGGGGTGTGGGGTGGAGGGTCTGCCAGGTGGTTCCACAGCAGTCAGCTCACGTCTCTCTGGTTTAGCAGTTCTAGCTCTGTGCTAGCTGTGCTAGACCTGAACTGGCTTCATGCACCCGTGAGCTCCAGACAACAGGAATATAAAGCCAGCTGGAGTCTGGTTGCCTGACGCTGTGCACAGCCAGCTCGGGTTTAGCAGGATTTAGTAAGCTCGAGCTCTGCATCATGCAAAGGCAGCTGAACTGTTACAGAAATGACCCTGGAAGCAGCCTGGCAGTGTTTGTTGTGCCCAAGATCAGACTTTTTCCTGGATCTGAGTTGTCTGTGCTTGAAGCCAGCTGTGGAATCTCTGTATCTAAAAAAACATTGCTCCGCAACCCAAATATAGGACAGTTCGGTAATAAAGGATAAAGATAGTTGAATGTATGATACAAAAGGCCAACCCCATCCTGGCCTACATCAAAAGAAATGTGGCCGGCAGGTCAAGGGAGGTGATTCTGCCCCTCTGCTCCACTCTGGTGAGAACCCCCCCTGCAGAGCTGCATCCAGCTCTGGGGCCCCCAAAGTAAGAAGGACATGGACCTGTTGGAACGGCTCCAGAGGAGGCCATGAAGGTGATCCGAGGGCTGGAGCACCTCTCCTATGCGGACAGGCTGAGAGAGCTGGGGGGGTTCAGCCTAGAGAAGAGAAGGCTCCGGGGAGACCTGATAGCCCCTTCCAGTCCCTAAAGGGGCTACAGGAGAGCTGGGGAGGGACTCTTGATCAGGGAGGGGAGGATAGGACGAGGGGTAGTGGTTTTAAACTGGAAGAGGGGACATTTAGATTAGATGTTAGGAAGAAATTTACTGTGAGGGTGGTGAGCCCCTGGCCCAGGTTGCCCCGAGAAGCTGTCCATCCCTGGAGGTGTTCAAGGCCAGGTTGGACGGGGCTTGGAGCAACCTGGGCTGGGGGGAGGTGGCCCTGCCCAGGGCAGTGGAGGTGAAACTAGATGACCTTTAAAGGTCTCTTCCAACCTAAACCATTCTATGATTCTATGAAGGTTCAACTACATGGGACAAGTACATCTTTCTCTTTCAATAACCGTTGATGCAGTACTTTTACTGTGTCAAGAATCCCTAGCTTTATTTTGTGTGAAGCTGCAATAAAATTCATTGCAGTTGTTAGTTCAATTTATAAAGCTGTTCTTATTCCATTAGAGGTCTCTTTTTGCATTATACTCTTGAAATTTGTCACTATATGGGAGATATACCACACAAACTTTTTAATTTTGTCTCAGTTAACATTCAATGATCACAGCCTTCCGCAATGTATTGACATGTAAAAACTGAGCTGAAAATTGCTGAAACTTTTTATTTTAAATATATGTATTCCTTACCTTCCTGAATGTAGGATAACGATGCTATAGAAGTTACCCAGTTGAATATACATTTCACTCCAGGTTCCTCTTGGAGAAGCTTAATCAGTTCTTCCATCATTGTTTTACGTATTCCTTATTGTTATGGTTCCAGAATAAATGTTTTACTTTCTTTCAAAGCCATCAATGCCAGCTAAAAGAGCCCAGCCAGCAGCCTTTGCCAGCTCCGAATGAGGGGTCACTAGAAGACGGTGAGGAGTTGCCTGCGCAAAGATACGAAAGAGACTTGGTACAAAAGTTGAAAGTTCTTAGACATGAGCTCTCTCTTCAGCAACCGCAGGCTGGTCACTGTCGCATTGAAGTATCCAGAGAGGAAATATTTGAGGTATTTGATTGACTTTTTACTATTATTACCAGCTTTTATCACTCAGTAGTTAAGTAAACTGATCTTTGATTATAGTGACTCTGCTTCATGAAAGAGGTAGTGAAATCCACCAGGTATTAACAGAGTCGTCATTGGAATTTGCTTTAGATTAGCACTTTAGCAGCATAATGTTTTCTGTCGTTGAGTAACAATCAGTTATTATTACAGTAATGCATCTTAGTAGACTTAATTATAGGAAGGAAAGCAAATGTCTGATTGTAAAAAAAAATACACATGCAGGAATCCTACCGTCAGATAATGAAGATGAGGCCAAAGGACTTGAAAAAGAGGCTTATGGTGAAATTTCGAGGAGAGGAAGGCCTGGATTATGGAGGAGTAGCAAGGTGAGATTTGGGGGTTTGTCTGACACTTTTTAACTGTAAAATTGTCCTTAAAGTGTCCTTAAAGTGCTGAAAGCAGAGATTCTCTCGTCATCAACCATTTTCAGAAAAACAGCTTTTCTAAAGACCTCCAATGATTTGAGCTGATTTTAAACAACAGATTTTTTAAAAAATATTTCTTTATACTGTGCAGGTTGCAGAGGAGTGGATCTCTTAGTGTCCAAATATCTGAATTCTGTACAAAGTCAAGATTTTTTTGGAAGTGGGTCTTGTTCAGACTCAATTTGTTGATGGCATTGTCTAACAGTTAGCTATAGCTTCTCTGATTGACGTTGACCCCTTCAGTACTTCTAAACTAAAGCAAGTCTGCCTGTGAGTGGAGTAAGACACTGTATTGGTTTTTAAGCACACCTTTTTGGTCTGCAAATGGAGGGCAGTAGGAGGTGATCTGCTTTTGAAATAAGAATTTCGTAACTGATGATTAGTTTGATGATTCACAATAAATTAAAGTGTATTGTCTGAAGCTTAAGTGGAAGTTGCACCCTTTTAAATACCTTCCCCCCTCCCCTCCCTTCCTTCTTTTTGGCAGGGAATGGTTGTATTTACTGTGCCATGAAATGTTGAATCCCTATTATGGACTCTTCCAGTACTCCACAGATAATATTTACATGCTGCAAATCAATCCAGACTCATCTATCAATCCTGTAAGTATTAACTTCTGAGTGACGTACCTACTTTAACAGAGGTCCCCTGCAGGTTTTTGTTGTAGCTGCTCTTCCATGACAAGAGCGTAAACTGAAGGGTAAAGCAGAATAAGAATGTGTTAATGAGGCTTATATTGATATAGTGTGAAGCAGAGGGGTTTTGTTCTGAAATGAAAAACATGAGAGAGGAGGTATCCTTTGATAAGTATCTGCTTTCTTTGAGACTCCTCAGTACTGACTGGGATGCACGGTGATTTTGAGAAGATATAGGAAGGTGAAATTCATCTTCACAGTGAATGCAGGCGGTTGTGTAAACAGCACTGCATCCTAAGCAGCTGCAGGGGCTCCTATGCCTTGCCCTCTCTCAATAAACTGCTCTGCTTGCCCTTTTTTCCTACTGGAGGATTCGTATTGATGCAGACCCTGAAAGGAGCAGCAATTCTGTATTAGTACAGAGGAATTTTTCCTGACGTGACATTGCCTGACATTTGCTCTGTAAGACAGGGGAGATAGATTGGAAGAATCTCAGCCATAGGACTTATGCCTCGGTTTTCAAAATACAGTTTATAAGCAACATAAAAGACATGAAGGAAATGAGCACATGTCCTGCTTCCTCAAGAGCGAAAGGATTTTGATGGTTAAACAAAGAATAAACTAATTTGTTTGGAAGTGTCATATTTTGGATTCTGGGGACTTTCCTTTCCCGAGTTATGCCCTTTGAGAGGTCTAGAGGATTTGCATCCATATTAGTAGTCGGGTAATGCACCGAGACTTATTTGAGGCATTTAATCATTAAATGCTTCTGTTGTTGGTTTTGTTATGAGGAAAAATGGTGGCTCCTCTTGCCCAGAGGGTTGCAGATAACTTGCACTGAACATACAACTGATAGCGCAGATATAACCACAAGATGTCAGTGTCTTCCCACGGCTTGATTTTGCTCTCCTCTCCCTGCAGGACCATTTGTCTTATTTCCATTTTGTTGGTCGGATAATGGGTTTGGCTGTGTTCCATGGACACTATATCAATGGGGGGTTCACGGTTCCCTTTTACAAACAGCTTCTGGGAAAGCCCATTCAGCTCTCCGATCTGGAATCTGTTGACCCAGAATTACACAAAAGTTTAGTCTGGATCTTGTAAGTACTGTATTTACCAGTTGTCTTGCTGTAGAGAAGATGGGGTAGAGTATGTTGGCAATAGTGAGATAACGCTTTACAGAAAATGTTTACAAAAATCTTGTAACGGTGGAGATCTGTACAACATTATTAAACTGCTTTTACTATGTCAAAAAGCTCAAGGTACTTGAGGAAAAGTTCTTATTGCAAACTCGGCGTTAGCTCTCCTTGCAGCAAAAAAGATAATCATTAAATGGTGTATGGGTATGGTAGAATATCACAGTACCAAAATCCAAACTCGGGACAGAGTTCTGAGGGGGAAAAGAAAAACAACTTTGATTAAAGTAGAAATAAATGGAAGTGGTTTGGGCTTCTGTATGATTACAGTTCAGAACAAAATCCAACATTCAGTGTAGCTTTGAGACTCTTCAGCACTGCTTTGCATTACCTCAATTTCTTTTCCTAAATGCTATTTTGAATTTTGCATTTAAAGTTACTGATGTTGTTGAATTTCACTGCGTGTGATCACTGCGTGTGCTTCACACTGATATATGACAGCAGATTAGATTATTCCTGTGTGTCTATATGTGTGTGTGTTTGTAATTAGGGTTTTATTAACTATCCTGAGTACTACTAGTTAGATGGATGACCCGTATCTGATCAGGCTCTTCAACATGCATTAAACTATATAGAAATTGGTGATTATGGCAATATTCCTCTAGTGTGTGAAATGCAGGTGGCTAGTCACTAGGTTTATCCTGAAGAAGACTAATTACTGTTCAAATAACAAACTATCAGCATCACCACTGAGAATTATCAAAATATCAAAAATACTAGGTTTACCTTCTGTCTTTCCCTTGCCAGAGAGAATGATATCACCCCAGTTCTGGACCATACGTTTTGTGTGGAACACAATGCCTTTGGGCGGATTTTACAGCATGAACTCAAACCAAATGGCAGGAATATTCCAGTGACAGAAGAGAACAAGAAAGAATATGTCAGGTATTGCAGAACAAAAATATATCCTCCAAATGTTGTGGAAAGAAGGTTGTAAACAGATGATTTTTTTTTTTAATTAATGAAACTAATGAAACAAGTATTTTGGGGGGAAATACTTGAGTCATAAATGACATGAGTGTTTTTGCACAATGCACTATTGTAAGACCTGGGAAGATGAAGCTGTGAATTTACTTTTGGGTTTTCTGTTGATGGTGCAATAATTAATTTTTGATGGAAAAAGGAACTGATAAGCACTTCTTTCATAATACAAAATGTGTGTGTTAAAACAAGTTCCTCTATAAAACGAGCATTTTCCAGCTCTGCTGTAAAAAGCCCAGTCCTATCTAGCTCATCATGCCTGACTTGTTCTTTCCACCCCCCAGGTTGTACGTAAACTGGCGGTTTATGAGAGGAATAGAGGCACAGTTCCTGGCTCTGCAGAAGGGTTTTAATGAACTTATTCCTCAACATCTCCTTAAGCCTTTTGACCAGAAGGAACTTGAGGTATCTGTTTTATCCACATGGAATATCATTTTGTAATACGTTTGATCCACAGTCAAGCACTGATTTAAAAAAAAAAAAACACAAAACAAAAAAAAACCCAAACCCTCAAAACTTATTCCAATGTGCGTCCCAGAAAGCTGTGTATTTGTTTAACCAAACCCTTTTTGGTTTATTCTAGACATTCTTTGGGTTGACATTATTGAGAGGGCTCCTTAAACAGGGAAAGACAAATACACCGTGTTGTCAAACCGAGGACTAATGCTCAAAGCAGGTGGTCTGGGCTGGGAGGGACTACTGCAAGTTTGAGGAACTGTTGGCAAGACCTAACATGTTATCGACTCCAGAACTTGTTTTCTTCAATAACTGTTTTCATGCACGGCGGTTTCTATACGCACACAGGGCATGGGTTACAGGGACTAAAATAGAAGTGTAGAGCATATAGGAAAGAAATTAATGTCTTCTCATTTAGTCCTGAGGTGCAGAATGCTACCTCTTCAAATAATTCCTGTTATAGCAATTTTTCCTCTGGTTTTGCCTTTTTAAAAAAAAAAAAAAGGCAACCTGTGGAATAGTGATCATTTCTCGTATTGTAAGCACTAGCTTTCTGCTAGTCGTTCGTGCACACCGATTAATCCCACGAAGTTATTGCATTCCATTTGCTAGCTGCTTGAAAAGGCAGATTAAAAATCCATTAAATATTTCAATACTGTCTGCGTCACCACAGTCACAACGGTCCTAATAATGTAAATGAGTGTAAGCGGGTGCTGTCTTGGTGGCACAAAAAGGCAGCTGCTACATGGTAGCTCTCAGAAATGTGATACTCAATATGGAATATTATGGGAAATTTAGAATATGATGCACGTTTTGTTTACAGGGATGAAGTTTTCTCTATGCCATTTATTTGTCGTTGCCAGGGGAGGTGGTTAGATTCACGGCCAGCAGTGACTTCCTTTTACAGTATGTTGCAACCTGGTGTCATCTGGAAAAGAGATTGAAGTAATATGTCTGGTCTGTGTCAGAGCCTCACACAAACGGCATCAGAAAACAGATGCAAAGTTTCTGTAGTTTGTTGTGGAACAGCAAACCAGCTAGGATGTTGCCAGAAACCGAGCAGGATTCTGTCGTAGTTGGTATTGGCACCTCTAGGACAAACCTGCATCGGGACAATGATGTTGTGTAGCACAGTAGTTGGCATACGCCGTCTTCCGAGTCTGTACTGCACCTTCATAAAGATATACTGTACTTCTCAGGTGGGATAGATTTAACAAAGCAGATCTTGAATGGGCTTCTGACTCTCATTGCCTGTGAAAATTCTGGTTCTGGTAGGTGTACTCCTTGGCCAGTTTCGTTGCAGTTTAACTGGAGAGATTTACTGCCTGTTCCAAACGGTTTTGGAGTGTTACTGTACACCAAAAAGGTGGTTCAAGCACGTAAAGAATGCTAGGCTTTGTGAAATGATTAGATGTATGTTTTTATAGCTGCAAACCTGAAATGACTGCGAATGTTAAAGCGTTTTCTAATCCTTTAACAGCTAATCATAGGAGGCCTGGATAAGATAGACCTGAACGACTGGAAGTCAAACACGCGTCTAAAGCACTGCATGGCAGATAGCAATATCGTGAAGTGGTTCTGGCAAGCGGTGGAAACATTTGATGAAGAAAGAAGGGCAAGGCTGCTGCAGTTTGTGACGGGTTCAACGCGTGTCCCACTTCAAGGTTTCAAGGCTTTACAAGGTGACTGATGTGGAGGACAAGTTAATCTGTGGTGGGAGAGAGAGAGAGATGAAAATGGTGTGGTATTTCCTAACCCCTTGTAAAATATCAGCATATTACTGAATAACTCAAGTACTTACAGACTTTTGATCCCAAGAGCAGTTTTACATTTGTCATCAGCTCTGCTTATGGCGAACACTTTAGCCGTTGTTGATAGCGATACAAGCTGGTAAATCTGTCATCGTGTGGCACTTTGGTGTCAATATTAGCTTATCGGTCTTCTACAACTCTGTGGACTGATGTTAAAATCATTGCATGCAAGCACGCACCTGATTATAGAGCTGATCAAACAACTTTTTCACATGAAAACTGTATTCTCTTCATTGTTTGACAATAAACCATTAGACTTTAAAACAGGTTCCTGAAAATTGCAGGGTTTGTCATCAGAAAAGGTGGCGGCGTCCTAGGCTGTTGGCGTGGTTTAAGCCCCGCCAACAACTAGGGCCACGCAGCCGTTCGCTCACTCCCCACCCCCCCCAGCAGAGCAGGGAGAAGAGGGAGAAAAAGGAAAAAAACTTGTGAGTTGAGTTAAAGACAGTTCAACAGAACAGTAACAGAAGATAAAATAATAATAATAATAGTAGTAAAAGAATATTCCAAATAAATGATGCAATACAGTTGCTCACCACCTGAGGGTCGGTTGCCAGCCCGTTTGGAGCAGCACTTGCCGATCCCTGCCCCCGGCCAAGCCCCATTTATAGGCTGAATGTGCCATCTGTGGTATGGAATATTCCTTTGGCCAGCTTGTCCTGTCTATGCTCCCTCTCAGCTTCTAGGGGAAGCTGAGAAAGTCTTTGACTTAATATAAGCATTACTTAACAACCACTAAAACAATATGTGTTATCAACATTATTCATACTAAATCCAAAACGCAGCAGCTACTAGGAAGAAAATTAACTCTGTGCCAGCTGAAAGCAGGACAGCTGTTGTGATTCTCCTGGTAAAGTTCCATCGGTTGACTGACAGTAAACTAATGTTCAAAGTAAAATATATAGTACTCTTTTACAAGGAAAACCTTCTTGCACTTAAGTCTTTTCATTTTTGAAGGTGCAACTTCGTTAATATCAAATTTAGCAGCTTTCCAAAATACTGGTCTGCTAGTTAATTGTTGTGAACAGCCCTATCTCTTCTGCCATCCCTTCCTCAGCTGCAGATCTGATCTACGGATTTAGCCTGTGACATACTTGTGTTTGCAGCTGGAACTGTAATCTTCTCTCTTGCCTTTTTATAAGCAGCAAAATCTGTGGATGTGTGGATGATGTTTTGTTGAAGTGCATTAACTAGAATGTCTGTCTGTAAGGTTCTACAGGCGCTGCAGGACCCAGACTGTTTACTATCCATTTAATAGATGCAAACACGGACAACCTTCCAAAAGCCCACACTTGGTAAGATGAAAACATTCTGCATGTCGGTGCTCGCTTTCCCTTTGTGTGGTTTAAAGCAGTCATCTCTGCTGGTCCCAGCTATGGATTAGTCATGTGATATGCATAGGTGAATCCAGGCGTGCTCTGCGAGCGTGGAAATATCTGTACTCTGCAGCCAGCGGAATAATCGACTTCCCTTCGTATAGCTTGATTTGTCTTCTGTGCTATCTGTGGTTTTCGTTTATCCCAGAGTTGATTGTTCTGGATAGTGAGATGTTTGTAAGCTTATTTCTACGTGTTCAGCGAAAGCATTCACCGAGAAATGACTCACAGCAATGAGTCCTCATCCAGGGTTACAAAGAATAGTTTTCAGATGTAAAATGTAGGAAAAGGGCGCTGTTGGTCCGGTATAGGCACAGAGCTGAGCTCTGGTACGGAAGTCTCACTCTATCAGAGACAGGAAATCATTTCAGCAGAGGCACAGATTGTCTGCAGGCAGGGCAGGGCGCAGCTCTGTCTGATGTCTTGCTTTATTTGCAAGTCTCCTGCATCTGCCACCTGCCGCCTCCTCCCACATGCTGCCCTATTAAGTCGAGCATTCCTGCTGTAGAAGTACAGTTGGGGTTTTTTTATCTTGTCTCCTTTGGCCACCAAAGTGGCTGAAGTTTTCTCTGATTTGTACAAATTCTGTCTATATATAGCTGAACTAGATTTTTTTCTTTTCCGATAAATATTTTAGATTCATGTGCTGCAATGTGTTGTTATTTTACCTCTAGCTTTAACCGGATTGACATTCCGCCTTATGAGTCATACGAGAAGCTTTATGAGAAGCTGTTGACAGCTGTGGAAGAGACATGTGGGTTTGCTGTGGAGTGAAAAAGCAACCAAAGGAAACAGATGCTAGCTCATGGACCACCAAATCAAAAGCTAGAAGAAGCTTGCTGTGAACTTCCTGCTAAGCTGTCTGAAGCATCGGAACTCTAGACAACTTAGAGATGGGGCTGTTTCCCTTCCGCCGCTGGTGGATGAGGGTGGGGGTAGGGGCTTTTGTTGGTGGTTTCCAACTCTAATTTCTCCCCTTTGTTACAATAACCCCTTCCCTCTTCTTCCATCCCCCATAAAATGAAAAGCAGCCAAGTTCAGCATTTGGCTTTGGTTACACAGGATATTCTGCTAGATTTGTAACACATATTGTGATAGGGTCAGTGACTTGTGGGGTTTTTTTTAATAGGAGAATCAAAGTGTAATTAAGAATGAGCTTAATTTGCCGAGGACTTGCAACTGGTAGGTGTACCTGGTTAGTTCGTCTTAAATCAAGCTTGAGCCCTTGTAGAGTCCGGTGGGTGCGGAGTGTCTGACTGGCACTAGAATTTGCATTGCACATTTTGAACACTTGTTTAAAAAGTCATCTTCTAGCAGAAAATACCTCCATATGAACACTTAACTGAAAGGTAAAGAAATCCAAGTTCTGCCTTAGCAGGAAGCTCCCAGTAGAAGCTGTGGCTCACCTTGAGAAAAGTGAAGGAATGGGACAGCTTAAATGGTATTGTATGATTTCTTTTTGGTTGTCCTGGCTGAAATCTAATTGTTTTGCACATGAAAACAATTATTTCCTCCTGCAGAATTACTTTCCATAGTTCATTCAGATGTACGTACCTCGCAGAGAAGCCTTTTAAGGAGGAGACAGAGGATAAAAGTCTGTTCAGTCCCAAAGCTGTGATTTCTGTGCCACTGTTTTACCCGAGATGTGTTTGTATGACTTCAAATTCTAAGACTCACATGGAAATAACTGAAAGCTAAGCTAACAGCACGGACTTCTGTCCTGAAGTTTTTGGCCTTGGGAAAGGTTTATTTGGAGGTTGCGGTAAAAGGGTAACTATACAGTGAGTACATTTTAAATGTTATGGAAAGCTCTTGAAAGAATTTATGACTTCAGTTCCGTAGGGATGAAAATTTCTCCAGAGAGCCGTATAAGGCTATTTTTTCCAATATCCGAAACTAATATTAAAAGGTTTGTTCTCTAACACATTGCTAAAACAACTTCCCAGGGGAAACAAAAGCAAATCAAATACCTGAATCACTAACATTTTTTCCAGTTTGCACACCAAGATGAGACAGTATTTTAACAAATAACACTGCTTCAGAAAGACCCAGTTATCTATCAAACATGTCTAAACTTAAGTAAAGCAGACTTGCCTGTATAGGATTTTTTTTCTTTGGCAAGCCTGATTTTTAGAGATTCATTACTGAAACATTTAACAGATGTTACATTTATGGAATAGTGCATTGAAATTCAGCTGTGGGTAAGAGATCGTTCTTAGAAGATGTCTACTGGAATACTTCTATTTTGTCTTTTTTTAATTGAATTTGATAATAGCTTTAAACTGTGATAGGACAGAAGGTAGACACTTGTCAAAGCCCTGGCATCTTTCTCCGTTTGGTTTCTTCGTGGTTTTTTTTTTTTTTCTCCATTGACCATAATTCTTGTGATTTGTTGTTGGGCGTTAAGGATTGCATTGGAGGTGTAAAATTGTACCATGTTGTGAGATTTGCACGGGGTGGCTGAAGATGCTCATCCTGCCAGACTGTACAGGAGGGGCCTATTTAGACCCATGTTCTGTAGGAATCTTTTGGCACTTGGGGACCAGTTTCTGCAGTACTGGTTGATGGGACATAAATGAAACTATGTGATTTTTTTTTTTTTTTGGAAGAAAAGAGAGGAAATGCAACTGTCTGCAGAGAAGCACCTGTACAGTCTTGGGCTGAGTAGCAGAATCCCCGCAGCCCTGGCTTTTCAGAATGGCTGCGAAGTCGTACCTGTTCACAGAGTGTACTTAATCCTTTCAGTACGTTTGAATGTGCAATAAACCAGTCAGATAGGAAAAAAAAAAAAAAAACAACAAAAAAACCAACCACAAAACGGATTATTGCCCAAAAGCTTTGCATGCAGTCTCATGTGGATTTTTCACTAAAAGAGTTTAAAAAAAAAAAGAAAAACACCAAACCCAGATACTAAAGCCCACCACTGCCAAAAATCCTATCGCGCAAGCTCTACATGCAGCACAGCTGGCTCGGTAAAAACCAAGCGAGGTGAAGGTAAAGGCCCTTGATTTGGAGATCTATAGGTCAAGTAGCTTTATGTCAACGACACGGTTGACATACGGTAGTTCCTAATGTCTTTGCTAGGTCAGTGTTTTATTGAATGCACAACATAAGAATAGGCAAGGGTGGTCGTTTTGAAAAGTCCGTCTGTTTTTTGCTGTATTTAAAAGCCCTTGTCCAGGTACCTCCTCCGTGCTGACAGTAACGAGAACAGGGCACTGTCCTTTTAATTATTTCAGTTCTCTTTGAAACAGCTTCACCACCTCTCCCATCGTGTTGTCTTTGCAATTTTGTGCCACTTCAGTGACGATGAAGACATTTTTCGTATTGTTCTGTACATGCATTTGAGGTGGGCCTTAAAGCCGGTTGGATGGATGGAGGAAAACAAAGAAGTGAGGCAGAATGGGAGTTAAGCGATGGCTTGTTCTTCTGTGGCTGGTTTCAAGGCCAGGGAAGGATGAAATGCCACCAGGCGTTGGCGTGGCTCGAGCCATTGACGCTCTGAGGTCTCGGGAGCTGTTCGAATAACCTCAGCTGTCTGAATTTGTACGTTCATTCCCACTCGCTCTGCCAGCACTTGAACTGGTTGTTACTTCTCAAACTTGCCCAAAGAATAACATCGAGTCTGGTGTTCGTTTTGTCATTTCGTGTTCCACCTTGTACGCGGATACTCTTGGATCTGACCTGAAGGAAATACAAGGTACAGCGTGTCTTTTGTTCCTGTCCTAAAGGCAAACCTAAAAGCTGGTCCATTGGCACAGACCTTCAGTGCTCGCCCTGATACTGCTCATCAGCCTATACTATATATGCTCAGGGATGTAGGAAACCACCACTTTGCTCGTGTTTTAAATCGGGAAGAAACGAGACTGTTTTATGAATGTTAGTGTTCACTTGGGCATTATGTTAGACGAGACCCTGCTTCAAAAAGGCTGCTCGAAGCTCCAGATGGTGAAATCGGCGTTTGCTCAGCAGTATGTACTTAGTTCAAGTCGAGGTGGTTATGAAATCCAACAGATTTTGTAAATTAGTGATCCGGCCACCGGGCCCTCTGGAGCCGGTGCCCAGGTTCAGGGCCGTGTGGCACAGCAAGTTCCCAGAAACACAGTATGGATCTGTTTTTAATTTGTTAATTTTTTTTTTTTTTTTTTTTTGTTCCTCGACCACTTTATAATGTATTTTTTTAATTTATTATTTTGTAATGTCATGTTTTAAGTATTGCTGCTATCCTTGTTATTCTTCCCACTGTTTTTATTGCAGATTTATTTTGTGAAAGTTGTACACTAATGTTTCATTTTATGTCTAAATCAAAGTATTTAAAGAAATACTAGTTCTATTTAATGTGGTTATGGAACCAGCTGGAATAAACAGTGATTGTATAGTAGGCTGGACCCAGGAGGTCATGTTCATTTTTGTTACATATGCAATAAACTCACAACTTTAAACTCTTGGTAGCCATCATTTTGTTTGTTAAAATATTTACGGAAGTCACGGGAAAACTGATACACTCCAAGAGTGGTAGCGCTGCGCTTGGTGTAGCTGGAGATGAGGGTGGAGGATAAAGGCAGAGTGTTAAAGGCAGCACCGAAAAAGAAAAGGTATTGCTGTTACTGAAAATGATGTAGTGTTACAAAATAGTGAGTAAGATTTAAAAAAAAAAAAAAAAAATCCGTTTTGTTTGACGGACGCAGAGTTCGGTGTGGTGAAGGTGCCCCGATGTTAGCCCTGGTCTCGCCGATACCGACCGTCCCTGTTTGCTGACGCTGTCGTGAGCACCACCACCTCTGCGGTGTGGCTGTGCTCGTGGTGCCTGACTCGGTGGACGAGGTGTGGAAATACAACTGATGTAGCAGATTCATATGGACTGCCCAGATGAAACCCCTCCTTGCCAGGCAGAACCCTTCGCTTCGTTCATCCTTTACCTCATCAATTACCAGCCGTTACCGTTTGCTCTTCTTACCTTATTATTTGTCCTGTTAGTTTTCCAAAACCTCCGTTTTCGGGAAAGAAATTATAATCCGCCTCTTAAGGAAAGTTGGAGAAAAATTCCTTAATGCTGATGAATCTCTGCTTTCCTGTTTGATGGGGTTTTTTTTCCTAATTAGCAGTGTTGTGCAAGTGGAGAAAGACAGGTACGAGTCCGAGGATGGTGCCGGCAGCGATCAATCGGTGCTCAGTATCGGTGTGCGCTGCAGCACAGCCGTCCCTCTCTAAAACTGAGAACTAGAGTTTCTTTAATCTGTGCATTTTTTTTTTTTTTTTTAAAGAGAGTGGGGGAATAATTCAGGGGTTTTTTTTATTATTCTTTGAGTAACTTCACAATACGACCAAACGCACTAACACGCAATGAGCAAACCACTGTGGAGCCGGTGTTGCCCACCCCCCCGTTTCAGCCAGCAGCAGGGACTGAACGCTTCTGATGGTTTGGAGCAAGAAACGCTGTCTGTCCTTCAGTGCTCCGACAGACACTGGTCCTTTGCGTTTTCACGGAATCACAGAATCACAGAATTTCAGAGTTGGAAGGGACCTCTAGAGATCATCTAGTCCAACTCCCCTGCGGAGGCAGGGTTGCCTGGAGCACGTTGCTCAGGACTGCATCCAGGTGGGTCTTGAAAATCTCCAGAGAAGGGGACTCCCCAACCTCCCTGGGCAGCCTGTGCCAGTGTTTGATAACCCAGTGAAAAAATTTATCCTAATATCCAATCTAAACCTGGTCTGACATAACTCCAACCCATTTCCTCTCGTCCTATCGCTTGTCACCAGGGAGAAGAGGGCTGGAGCACCTCTCCTATGAGGAGAGGCTGAGACAGTTGGGGCTGTTCATCCTGGAGAAGAGAAGGCTCCGGGGAGACCTTATTGCCGCCTTCCCGTCCCTAGAGGAGAGCTGGGGAGGGACTTTTTACTGGGGCATGAAGTGACAGGACGAGGGGGAATGGCTATAAACTGGAAGAGGGCAGATTTAGATTAAACATTAGGAAGAAATTTTTCACTCTGAGGGTGGTGAGCCCTTGGCCCAGGTTGCCCCGAGAAGCTGTGGCTGCCCCATCCCTGGAGGTGTTCAAGGCCAGGTTGGACGGGGCTTGGAGCAACCTGGGCTGGTGGGAGGTGGCCCTGCCCAGGGCAGGGGGGTGGAGCTCGATGGTCTTCAAGGTCCCTTCCAACCCAAACCACTTTATGCTTCTATGTCACTCGCTTCACCTCTAAGAGCTTTGATGGCCATAGAATGGGGGGGATGATGACAGGGTGGGGTCCCCCAGCACCCACGTGCATTGCGCAGAGTGGGCTCCCCCCCGCCGTGCTGGGGCTCCTTCTGCCTTCGCTTTTTGTTGGAAATCAAAGGGGAGCTGCCTCGGCTTCCCAGGCACTGAAATTTCATCCCTCTCTTGCGGGATAGGGGAGACATTGGTGGCACATGGACAGCGTGGGAGGATGGTCCACAGGGAGCCCTCAGCAAATGGCTCATCTCAAAGGGTTTGGCTGACATGATCGGGAAAAGCGTTTGCCAGAGGATTTGCAGTGGGAGCCTGGAACCCAATTTCCCTCCGGGAAATTGTTTTTTAAACTAATCTGGCAATAGACTGGTTTTCAGTGGAGCTCCTAGATAGAAACTTAACCACAAGAGAGGTGTTGAGCAAAAGGACTAAGGTGAGTTCAGCGATCGGAGCTGCCCCACCGCAGGGAATCTGACTTTTATCCTTTTATTTATTACCGTAGTTGATATCTCTTACCGGCCTCATGCAAACGGCAGCAGCACCGTGTCCTCTGTCAGAAGGGTTTAACCTGAACCCACATCGGTGTGCCAACGTGGGTGAGACAAATTTGACCAGGGGGATGAAAAAAAGCAGTGTCTGCAGTTCCACTTCAGTGGATTTCAAAGCTCTCCCTCTGCATCTCCCAAAGAGGAAGTTGATGGAGATGACGGTGGTGCTGCCGCGGTCCCCCTGCTCGTACCAAGAGATGCTGAAGAGCTGCCGCAGCCAGGAGGGCAGGAATCGAGCCCAGTAAGCGAGCACGATGCTGACGATCACACACAGGACCTTCTGCCTGGGACATTGGCTGGTTTCATCGGTGCTGAGAACAAGACCCTGCCAGGACCTCCAGTAGGTCCTCGCCAGCTTGGTGTACAAGCAGCAGATGATGACGCTCAGGGCGAGGATGCAGTTGTTGAAGATGACTGTGAGATACACCTTGTAAGTCCCCATCTGCCACGTGGGGCAGCACAGATGCTTGGTGGCCCCGTTGCAGTGGCTGGTGTGCAGGTCAATGAGGATCCTAGTGGGGAGGGTGAAGAGGAAGGCCACCAGCCCCACCAGGCAGATGACCACCTGCTGGTGGTCGCTTGACGTGCGCAGGGTGTCCAGAGGCCTGAAAATGGCCAGGTAGTACTCAGTGCTCATGAGGGTGAGGATGAAGATGCTTGTGTGCATGGTGAGGAAGTTGAGGCTGAAGAGGACCCTTCAGCCCAGGTCTCCAAAGTACCGGTCCCACACAAAGTATATGCAGACCATGAAGGGGACGGTGGGTAAGTACAGGAGATCAGCCAGGGCCAAGGTGATGATCTACACCGAGCTGGTGCAACTTGTGGAGATGGTGATGACCACCAGCATGTAGATGTTTCCCACCAACCCAACGATGCACATGGTGGCCAGGGTGCAGCTGAGGAAGGAGGTGACCAAGAGGTCGCTGGCGCTTTTGGCAGAGGTGTTGGGCTGGGTGGTGGCTTTTTTGGGGTGGCAGGGCACCAAGACGCACGTGCTTGGCTCCATCCTCCCTCGCGGAGAGCTGCTCTGGGGAGGTCTTCTGGAGGTCTCCCGAGCTGCAGAAGCAGGAGCTGCTGGCTGAGCCATCCCGGCACTGGGCTGGCAGTGGGACAGGGCAGCAGCAGCATCTCTCTGCTCCGGCCAGCACCGCTCTCCCCGGCACTGCCTGGAAAAGCCATTTTCCTCCCCCGCACACAGCGAGGTGAGGAACCAGCCTCAACGGAGGTGGGATTTGTCTCTCTGCCCCGGATGCCCCAGTCACCCACCAGCCCTTCCCACTGCCCCAGCCACCTGCCCCGCTCCTTCCATAACATGCATTGCTGCAGACGGATCATTTTCTACAAGAATTGTTTTTAATTACTCTTCTTTTTTATTTTTCCCCATCTCCCGGGGCTCTCCAGCTCTGCAGCGCTGGGTTGACCTCAGAGGCTTCACGGGAGCGGGATGTGACCCAACTGACGCCCTCCCCGGGGGCCTCAGCTCCCTGTAACCAGGAATCAGAGGAGAAATTAATGTAATCAAAAATTCACAGGGGTGTCTTTTCCCCGAAGCTGCTCTGGTTGGTGGCCTGGCAGGATGAGGGTTGCTGGATTTTAGGGGGCTTTTGGGATGGGAACCAGCCCCCGCTGACCTGGTGCTGGGAGGGACAGAGCTGTAGGGTCCCAGGGAGGTGAGGAGAAGGGTCCGTGGACCAGTTTGGGTCCTTATGAGCAACGTACGGGAGATGGAAAGCTCCTGAATTAGCCAGGCGGGTGATGGGGGAAGTAAACCCCCCTGGTCTGCCGGCAGCGGGAGTGCAGCGCGCCCCACGGCTGTTCTAGCACCGCTTTGCACCCCAAACCCACAATTTTACACCTCCAAAAGGCCGCAGAGCCCGTGGGGGGGGGTCACCCCAAGGGCTGGCTCCCGGTCCGAGTCGGGCTGTGAGCCCGGGTTTCCCTTCCAGCAGCTGAACTGCCATGGTGGGACTGCACCCCTGCACCCCATAGGGGTCCTGACCCCCCCTTGGCAGAGCACCCCCATAAGGGACCTGCACCACCACCATGGTAGTGGATCTGGACCACCACCACCACCACCATCTCTATAGGGGACCTGCACCCCATAGGGGTCCTGACAGCCCTTGGCAGAGCACCCCATAGGGGACCTGTACCCCCCCCCAATGGCAGAGC